GGCAGAGGTGGAGGGATGGGCATTCAGCTGCAGGTTTGGGAGCAGCTGAGAGTGATGACGAGAGGGTGGGGAGCTCATCAAGCTCTGAGGAAGAACTTTGAGATAAAAGTGGGTTCAGTTTGGACTATATTTCGCAGAAGGCAAAGTGTCTTCATGGGACATAATTCTTTGTACTGCCAACTTTCCACTTGGGTCCTGGGCTTTAGCTTTGTGTGTTCCTGTACTCCTGCTTCCTCGGTGACTCCAGCGATCCAGTATTGCTTCCCAACGGATTGACCACGGACCGGTTTGACTTCGCTTTTGGACTTCTGGACTTTGTATGCCAATACTTTTGTGACTGTAACAATTCTTAGTTTTGAAACCACGTTTTTCCAGCTTCAGAGACTGTGTTTTTGTACTATTTTGACTTTCAAGCAATTTGCTTCATCTTTTGTTTAATCCGGATTATTAGGCTATAGCGCTATAATCCGGATTATATTTTTGTTACTCCTATCGACTTATTTTTGGTGCCAAATTGCTCCAGTGGGCCTTAGCACTGATGTTAAGTGCTTTGTAGGTCCTTTTATTTGCAATAAAGCTGTGTTTGAACCTTTATTCTGTGTCTGGCGTTGTTTAAGGCTTCTGGGTCCTGACAGTTCATGTGCTGTCACAGAGGGGTGGCCTGCTAATAAAAGCTGATGGTGGCTGTGGCCTAGTCCTGGCTCTGATGGCAGCAGAAATGTATTGAAAGGGTATGTTGGGCCTCTCAACCTTGGCTGTTGGGATTCTGTAGGTGGAAAACCGTATCAATGTGCTGTTTGCCTCATCTTATTATGTTCTTACTGAAAGTCTGTGTCAGGATGGAAGAGGCAAGATTTATGTATAGGCAGGTTTTCAATTACTGTCCTCACCATATGGAGAGTCCAGAGGAACGTAGCCATGCACTTCATCAGAGAGACACTGCAGATGCAAACAGGTGGTCAGGTGAGTCAGAGGTATGTTTTGCTAGATCTTTCTGGAGCCGTGGAAGACCTCAAAACTTGTTTTGTGAAGGTACAGACCATCTGCTGATCCTCTGTTAGCAAATGATCAATGTAAGGGGTGATCCTGTTCCAAAGAAAATCCTGGTACACCCCCATGTATGCCTCATAGTGGGGCTTATCTGGCAAAAGGTTTTGCAGAGAAGTAGACCTTGCAGCCTATAGCATCAAGCTTCTATCTTTTGTCAGAAGGAGGGGAGTGCATCCTTTGGGAGGGTCAGGATTGTGAAAAGTCAACTATGATTGAGTTGGGCTTTGGAGGCTTCATCAGCCATTCTGCTGAAGAAAATTCTACCTTGTAAAGGTTATGTATTCATCTTGAGGTGGGTGACACTGATGATGGAACCCTTATTGATCTGAGAACCCTTATTGATCTGTAACAAGAAAGGCAATAATGGGAGCACTGTTGGTGCCAGTGTTTGCTGCTGACTTGAATATATATTGTCCTCCAAAGGGGGTGCTGGATGAGAAGCTAGTAATTTAAGTGCACAGGCCAACCGGATCTTTGGGGCTGAGAAGTTCTGAATCACTTCTGGAGATGAAACATCAATATCCTCTGCCGCTTCACTACTGGGATGTTCTGTAGCCAATGGCTCCGAGATCGTGCAGCAAGCAATGTTGATAGCTCAGTTTGTGGAAGAACATCCATGGACAGGGCTGACATGAGTCTGGAGGCAGAGGAATGAAAGTGCTCATTGGAATGAATGGGGCTAGGAAGCTCTGAGTAGAAAGAGCTGTGTTGCTCATATAAGGGTGGCAAGACCCTGATAAGGCTCCTTCAAGTGGCAAGTGGCTGACATATGACATATGTACTCAGATAAGGGTTGCTGAGCCCATAAAATGAATCTCCGCAAGGAGAGTTCTGCCCAGGAAGAAAGATATGCTGAGTTGAGTGAGTTTTCCTGGAAACATGTGAGGTCACCTCCAAGGTAGAGTAGGGAGAATCCTGTTGCATCGAGCCCTGGGACTGCGACCCGTGGTGATGCAGCTCTGTCTCTTCCATAATCTCTGGGAGGTGGCGTCCCTCTGCTGGGTAAACTTGTGTGCCATTATGCGCCCTCACCTCTGATTCATAGGGCATTTGGATGGCAGTCTCATTCAGAGCATAGTCCGAATCAGGCACCGAAGAAAAAGATGGGGTACTTGTGCACTCAGTGGCATATTAGGCAGAGGTGAGGCCAATTGCCATTTTGAGGCCAGCTGGGGCAGAGTGCTCACCCCCTGCTGGGAAGTAGTTTTGCTCACCCTCCTCCTCAGCTTCTTCCTTTTCACCTTTTGCACCATTGAGAGGGCTATGGGTGTGTAGGGAGAGGCATGGGCAGTCTGACCTGTCATGCGCCTGCATACAAGACCCGTATGTGCCATTTCACAGAGATCACAAAGAAGAAGTCACAATATGGCCAATGTGGTCCCAATCTTCAAGAAGGGAAAAAAGGATGATCCAAACAATTACCGTCCAGTCAGCCTCATGAAAAGTCAACATGGATTTATCAAAAACAAGTCATGCCAGACTAATCCGATCTTTTTTGGATAGAGTTACAAGCTGGGTAGATATGGGGAATAATAACAACAACAACAACAACAATACTTTATTATTATTATTATTATTATTATTATTATTATTATTATTATTATTATTTTCTGTTTATGAGTTTTATTTTGTTGTTGTTTTTTGCTGATGTATTGTGGGCTCGGCCTCATGTAAGCTGCATCAAGTCCCTTGGGGAGATGGTAGCGGGGTACAAATACCCTGCTACCATCTCCCCAAGGGACTCGGTGCGGCTTACATTAGGCCGAGCCCACAATACATCAGCAAAAACAACAACAACAGCAATACAAACAATATGAAACTCATAAACAAAAAACAGCAGTAAACATTATCAATAGCACAACAACGCATTAAAAACCTATGGCTGGGCCAAATAGTTAAAATTTTAAAAATAATGCTGAGCATGACCAGGTGAAATATAACTAGGATAGAATTTTCGGAGAAGAATGGGGCGTGCAGACAATCCTAGATCACTAATAAAGTGCATTTAGGGATATATTGCTGGGAGTTTCCTTATTCTGGGAAGGCACACTGGAACAACCACATTTTCAGGCTCCTCCTAAAGACTGCCAGAGCTGGGGCATGCCTGATGTCCTTGGGGAGTGAGTTCCAGAGTCGGGGGGCCACCACCGAGAGGGCCCTCTCCCTCATACACACCAATTGCGCCTGCGATGGAGGTGGGAGCGCGAGCAGGACCTCTCCAGATGATCGAAGAGATCATGTGGGTTCGTATACAGAAATGCGGTCATGCAGGTAGGCGGGTCCCAAACCGTGTGGAATGCCGTGGATGTAGCGTACCTGGATTTCAGTAAGGCCTTTGACAAGGTCCCCCATGACCTTCTAGCAAACAAACTAGTCCAATGTGGGCTAGGCAAAGCTACAGTGAGGTGGATCTGTAATTGGTTAAATGGATGAACCCAGAGGGTGCTCACCAATGCGTCCTCTTCATTTTGGAAAGACGTGATGAGCGGAGTGCCGCAGGGTTCCGTCCTGGGCCCGGTCCTGTTCAACATCTTTATTAATGACTTAGATGAAGGGCTAGAAGGCATGATCATCAAGTTTCAGATGACACCAAATAGGGACGGATAGCCAATACTCCAGAGGACAGGAGCAGGATTCAAAACAATCTTGACAGATTAGAGAGATGGGCCAAAACTAACAAAATGAAGTTCAACAGGAACAAATGCAAGATACTCCACTTAGGCAGGAAAACGAAATGCAAAGGTACAGAATGGGGGATACTTGGCTCGAGAGCAGTATGTGAGAAAAAGATCCTGGAGTCCTCGTGGACAACAAGTTAAACATGAGCCAACAGTGTGATGTGGCGGCAAAAAAGCCAATGGGATTTTGGCCTGCATCAACAGGAGCACAGTGTCTAGCTCTAGGGAAGTCATGCTACCTTTCTATTCCACTTTGGTTAGACCACACCTGGAATATTGTGTCCAATTCTGGGCACCACAATTCAAGAGAGATATTGACAAGCTGGAATGTGTCCAGAGGAGGGCGACTAAAATGATCAAGGGTCTGGAGAATAAGCCCTATGAAGAATGGCTTAAGGAGCTGAGCATGTTTAGACTGAAGAAGAGGAGATATGATAGCCATGTATAAATATGTGAGAGGAAGCCACAGGCAGGAGGGAGCAAGCCTGTTTTCTGCTTCCCTGGAGACTAGGACGCAGGACAATGGCTTCAAACTACAAGAAAGGAGATTCCATCTGAACATGAGGAAGAACTTCCTGACTGTGGGAGCCGTTAAGCACTGGAACTCTTTGCCCCGGAGTGTGGTGGAGGCTCCTTCTTTGGAAGCTTTTAAACAGAGGCTGGATGGCCATCTGTCAGGGGTGCTTTGAATGCAATATTCCTGCTTCCTGGCAGGGGGTTGGACTGGATGGCCCATGAGGTCTCTTCCAACTCTAGTGTAAGGGATACTGGGAGCTGACTTCCATCAACACCTAGAAGGCCACATATACTTTACCTTTCCCGTATTTTAAGGACAACAGAACTGTATCATATGAGTCAGCATGGTGTAGTGTTTTGAGCATTGGGCTACAATTCTGGAGACCATGGTTTGATTCCCTGCTCAGCCATGATTTCCATGGCTACTGAGTAATCTTAGGTGAGATGTACACTTTCAGCCCAAAAAGAAACTTGTGATAGGTTCACTTTAGGATCACCATGAGTCAGGAATGACTTGAAGGCAACAGCAGCAGCAATATAACATTTTAAAGCACACATTAACTAGATTTTTCCCCATTTGATGTTAAATAATTCAAGCCAATTCTTGTTTTTAAAATAACCCCCCAAAGCTATCATCAAATCATTAAAAATTTCACTACTTCTAACTGATATATGATATTATTTTTGTGTTGTTCTTTTAAGGGTACACATCAACAGAAATAATTTGTAAATGTCATGATAACTGAAGTGCCTTACCTTTTGGCCCCTGTGACTCATCATCACTGTCTGAATCATTGCTCACTATATGTCGCAGTCTGATATTTTCTGTAAGTAAACATGATAAAAATCTTTAACATCTTAAATAGTCAAATAGGAATAGAAACACAATAGCAATTACAAAAGATCTTGAAGTTGGAGGCATGGAGAGAAATTCCCTCTCCAATGTAGGAACTCTCCATACATCTTGATTACAGGAAATACTAAGTACATATTTCTTAAAGAAGCATAGCAGCCATACAAAGTGATGGAAATGAGCAGGACCAGTTCATATGTACACTTTGCACAAGTGTTTGATGTGTAGAGGGACTTGTATCTATACAACTGCCTTAATGGAAGCAACAGTAATGTCATATACAAAGAATAGCAAAATTAGGTTCAGATCATTCATAATTTTACTCTGTTCTCATTAGAATAAAAATTAGTCATGTGAAATGCAAAAAGCAGATGAAGTTTGAAAACTACATTACATGCTGACCTGTGCCAAAACACAATGTAGAGACTGATAAGTATTCTCCCTGTCTCATTCTCTCCTTTGAATATTTACTTTATTTACATTAACCATTTAAAATATTTACATTATTTTTCTCAAAACATTTTTTTCAAAAATAGTAACTTTTCTTTAATCCCTTGATTTGACTCAGAAGATCGTATTGTTGGGGAACTAGAATTTAGGTTAGTGTTGGTCTCGCGTGACTTCAGATGCTCCCTATACTTCCTTCTCCTACTGTACCACCCCCACAAAAAAAGAAATCAAAAATAGGGTTGTTGTAGGTTTTCTGGGCTATAATCAAAAATATTTTACTCCCAATGACCTCGAGAAGTTCATGTTGTTATATTATGTTCACCCTGGTTTGCACTTTGCTAGGTTGTTACCTAGAATCATAGAATCATAGATTTGGAAGAGACCTCAAGGGCCAAGAAGCAGGACAAACGTGTTCAAAACACCCCTGACAGATGGCCATCCAGCATCCATAGAAGGAGCCTCCACCACACTTCGAGGTAGAGAGTTCCACTGCTGAACAGCTTTCACAGTCAGAAAGTTCTTCCTAATGTTCAGGTGGAATGTCCTTTCCTGTAGTTTCAAGCCATTGCTCTGCGTCCTAGTCTCCAGGGCAGCAGAAAACAAGCTTGTTCCCTCCTCCCTGTGACTTCCTCTCACATATTTATACATGGCTATCATATCATGGTGCCCAGAATTACATACAGTATTCCAGGTGTGGTCTAACCAAGGCAGAATAGAGGGGTACCATGACTTCCCTGGATCTAGACACTATACTCCTTTTTAAACTGCAGCAACACATTATTGTCTCATGTTTAACTTGTTGTCCACGGGGACCCCAAGATCTTTTACACACCTACTGCTCTCAAGCCACGCGCCCCACATTCTGTATCTTTGCATTTCGTTTTTTCTGCCTAAGTGGAGTATCTGGCATTTGTCACTGTTGAAGTTCATTTTGTTAGTTTTGGCTTATCTCTCTCATCTGTTCAGATTGTTTTGAATTCTGCTCCTGTCTTCTGGAGTATTGGCTATCCCTCCCAATTTGGTGTCATCTGCAAACTTGATGATCATGCCTTCTAATCCTTCATCTAAGTCATTAATAAAGATATTGAACACGACCGGGCCCAGGACAAAACTCTGCGGCACTCTGCTCATCACTTCTTTCTAGGATGAAGAGGAAGCATTGGTGAGCACCCTCTGGGTTCGTTCATTTAACAAATTACAGATCCACCTAACCGTAGTTTTGCCTAGCCCACATTGGACTAATTTGTTTGTCAGAAGGTCATGGGGGACTTTGTCGAATGCCATACTGAAATCCAGGTACTCTACATCTACAGCACTCTCTACATCTACCTAGCTTGTAACTCTTTCGAAAAATGAAATCAGATAAGTCTGGCATGACTTGTTTTTTTATAAATCTGTGTTGACTATTAGCGATGACCGCATTTGTTTCTAAGTGTTTGCAGACCACTTCCTTCACGATCTTTTCCAGAATTTTGCCTAACCCTATCCCCTGTCAACATTTCCCCATCTTCTCCTTGCAGAGGCCCTATTGCCTCCTTGTTCTTCCTTTTTCTACCGATGTAAGCAAAGAAGCCCTTTTCTTAATGTCCCTGGCAAGCCTGAGCTGATTTTGCGCTTTAACCTTGTGAACCTTCTTCCTACAGGAGTTTAAGACTGGATTTGAAAGAATACAGGTAATTTCTTCAATTCAAAAGTGCTATCAGTGTGAAAAAGCTGCTATTCCACCTAGCTACTTCCCCACTCCTATGCTTTGCTGAATCTCTTCAAGCACATGTTAGGACCACATCAAGGCCCTATTGTACCTTGCCTTGGTAATGTGGTTACCCCCACAAAACCACTCTCTTATGGCTGGTTTCCACATTATTATTGTAATATAACAAAATATTTTCACATCTAGGTAGACTGCATCTTACAGGTCCTTTGGATCTTTACAAAGACCACCAAATACAGGAAGGAATGCATGCAATATGGAATACCAGCATGACAGACCCAACCACGAAAAATGGATTTGCAGGAGAAACCATACCATCAAGTTAACAACGATGCTGAAGCAAGAGAAGGAAACAAAAATCCAGAGACATTCTGCTGATCCTTTGCACATCAGCACTGCCTTTAAAAGGGATATTACAATGTATTTATACAAGGATAATAATAATAATAATAATAATAATAATAATAATAATAATACTTTATTTATACCCTGCCACCATCTCCCCAAGGGAACTCGGGACGGCTTACATGAGACCAAGCCCAACAACACATCACGAAAAACAAAACAGCAAGCAAATAAAGCAGTACAATTAATACAGCTCACATATAAACAATAACACTGAATTAAAAACCTTATGGCTGGGCCAGATGTAATAAATTAAATTTTTTAAAATAAACACTGGGCGTGAACAGAGGTAGGTCCCAAACACTTCAGGGCTTTGTAGGTAAGAACCTGCACCTTGAATTGGGACCAGAAAATGAACGGCAGCCAATGGGGCTCCTTAAACAGGGGGGTTGATTTCATCCAAGTTTAATATTTTGTTTACATTATCCGAACTTTCCTATTTCAATGTAATGGGAAACTTTGGATTAAAACAAAACAAGACTGAAGTGCTAAAACTAGTGTATTAATAGGAAAAGCAGGGAAAGTACATTTGGTCCCAGAATTCATTACTACTTTCCTAAATTAGAATTTTAAAACACCAAAGAAATATTCAAAATTGGAACTACTTTCCAGCCACCTAAAAAGCCCCACATTGGCTTATTGTAAAAGATGTCACTTCATATGTGAGTAAAAATAGATCAAAGGCACGAGTCTTTGCTCTAGGATAATTGCCCACATTATAATTCCCAAAAACTTACAGCAACCCAGTGATTTTGGCCATGAAAGCCTTCGACAACACAAGGATACAAAAAGTTGGGGATCAGCTCATCAGTGAGCAAAGCGTGAAGTGCCGTGTGTTAAGAAAAAATTAAGATCTGAAGCGGTCAAAGATGCCGAGTCCAATCAGAAAAATCACAAAGGGTTTATTTACAATAATAAACAATAATTGCATTTCTTAACAGTTAAATAGCTGGTCTGAGCTACTCTAACACCCATCTCTTCTAAGGTCTCAAAGAGGGGACGGACGGACACACCAATTACTACATCTCTCTGACTCACACTCCGAGAGAGATCTCAAAGCACACAGCACATACTCAAATGTAAGAAACAGAAGTCAAATGTAAAGACTTGCAGTAGAAAAGTATCAATTCTACACAATCAATCAGAATGAGAGCAAAAACAGAGAGGAGAGAAGAAATAGATAATTCCCAACTGTCATACAGGAGACACGGGGGAAGGGATATCCTTGGTCTGTACTAAACTAATAGGCTTGGTTGATCTGGTTCGGAAGTTTCTAAAATCGGAATGAATTTGTATTTAAATTACTTTAAAAACAATTTTGAGCCATGCTTGAATACTGTGAGGAGTAATAACGAATTGAAACAATTTACCCATTTTTTGGAAGTATTTTCGTATGTCTGGTCAAGGTTTACAATCTTGCAGTTTCCCTGGCCCCCCTGGCGACAAGCGGTGATGTGGAAGGATGAGGTGGGTGTAGCCACGCCCCCAGTGGCCGTCAAGAAGAGCTGGGCGTAGCCACGCCCACCTCATTCCCCTGCCATCCATCGCCCTATGCAGTCACACAGAGAAGGGAAACTGCAAGATTACTTTTAAAATCTTGCAGTTTCCCTTCTCTGTGTGACTTCAAAGGGCAAGGGAATGAGGTGGGCGTAGCTACGCTCAGCTCTTCTTGATGGCCACTGGGGGCGTGGCCTTCAGGAAGAGCTGGGCGTGGCCACGCCCACCTCTTCCCTCTGCATCGCCTATTGCTGTCACACAGAGAAGGGAAACTGCAAGATTACTTTTAAAATCTTTCAGTTTCCCTTCTCTGTGTGACTGCAAAGGGCCGATGGATGGCAGTGGGAGGAGGTGGGCGTGGCCACACCCAACTCTTCTTGATGGCCACTGGGGGAAACCGCATCGCCGCTTGTCGCCAGGGAGGCCAGGGAAACTGCGAGATTTTAAACTAACGGGGGAGGGGCACCTTCCATTAACAAAGTAAATTAAGCTATTCAGATTTTTGCTATTTTCGATCTTTTTTTCAAGAAAACTTGAGAAATAATTTTAAAATTGAAACGCCAGCGCCCTCTATATACGAAACGAGTTTAGAACCATTTTTTTCTTGATCAACCAAGCCTACTAACTAACTGCTCCTCGTTGAGGACTTGAGACATAGGCAGTGTGGAGTTGAATTCCAACAATATCAAATCAGAAAATACCACAATATATGCTTTGAACTGGGTTATCTGAGTCCACACTGCCTTATATTCAAGTTCAAAGCAGAAAATGTGGGATTTTATTCAGCTGTGTGGAAGGAGCTCCAGTTAATAATGTAGATGCAACTCTTTGGGCCAACTGAAGTTTATGAGCACTTTATAATGGCAGTCAAATCCAAAAATAATGTAATTACCATGGCCAGATTCATCTTGTCCAACCGAAGTTTGCCCCAGACTGCAAACTTATATTTGAATATACAACTCCATCTATAGCCCCGTCTACACTGCCATATAATTCAGATTATCAAAGCTCATTATCTGCTTTGACCCAAATTATCAGAGTCTACACTGTTACAGTTATACTACTTTTTAATGACTATAAATAGTTTTAATATGTATTGTTTTTCAATGCAGTTAGCCTCCTTGAGGACCATTATTGGGAGAAAGGTGGGGTTTAATTGAATAAAATATCTAAAAATAAACATAACAATATCCAAGTAATACAGAGCAGCTACGCCTTTATCAGTCCAATCAAAAGCCAAAGTATAGTACACAAGATTTCAGTGCTCACTGACATATTCATGAAGCAAAGTTCTTACAAATCATGCAGGAAACGAAAAATGTCAGAGCCTTGCATGATACTGGAGATGTTTGCTTAAGATAGCATTTCAGTTATTATTATTAAGGTGGTCTGGAAAGTGTTGATGCAATTAGAGGCCTCACTCCTTCTTGGCCACACAAGGACATGAGACAAAGTTAGTAAAAGTCATATGATAACATTTCCATCTCCATTAGCAGCACTAAAGCAACATCCCTTGAGATCTTGGGAACATCTCTTCTAGGTGAGACTGCAACTATGGAATGCTCTAGCCAGAGGCTCACATAGTACAGACAACAGTGATCTTTTTAGTGTTGGGTAAAGACAGTTTCATTTTCTGAAGCCCCTTCTACCCTGCCCTATATCCCAGGATCTGATCCCAGATTTTCTGCTTATACCAAATTATCTGGCAGTGTAGACACATATAATCCAGTTCAAAGAAGATAATCTGGGATCAGATCCTGGAATATAGGGCAGTGTAGATCCTTCCTTAGGCAGGCAGCTTAAAAAACCTTTTACAAGAGAATGCAACACACACACTACCAAGAAATGGAGGGCAGAAATGATAACTGTACACAGCTCTAAAATTTAGCAATATTTCTAATAAGTCAAAAATTACAATACCTAGTTCTTCTTCCATTGTTGGACCTGTATTTTGAGAGTTGGAAACGCCAAGGACTCGGTTAAATAATATAGCAAATGCACTTCCCCATACACCTGAAAAACATTGTACATTATGTTACACTGGTGTTTCTTAACTGGTTTTCTAAAGCACTCGAGCAGGTCTTAGAAATGGCACAAATGCACATCAAAATTCAGAGTCCAATCCTTACATTGGATAGGATTTTTCTATTGGATCAATATGACTTCAATGGACTGAAGTTAAAACCCACTCAAGCATGGTGTGTACTGCAGCCCACAGAAAGCAGTTTTGTAATCAACTACTATACAAAACATGATAACTTCCAGGAATAAATAACATAAATAACTAGACATAGCTCTGGTATTCATTAAACATGATGATGTCCTGTCACAAATTACCAGCATGATTAAACTAAAATATATAAATTTATTTCCGTATTAAGGAAATTCATTAAACTCTCATTGTTAACTCTTAGATTATATATTTCTATAGTATAGTAATTGGCCATATTACTCTCAAATAAAGTACTAAATAAGGCAGTAGGGGAGGCAATTGCTAGAAATGCATTAATCCTTTATAGGACTGACAGCTGAGTTTCACATCATGCCACCACCCAGAAATGTTTTAACTCCCTGTTCACTTCCTGTTTTTTTTTTTAAAGTTGCTGTCATTAAGAGGAGCTCAAGTATGGCAAAATTGTTCTTAGACTTTCTAAATAGCCATAGGGGCATTTAAAGTCAAAAATACATTTAAAAAAAATTGAAATACATTTGGAAACATCACTTCTCCCACCACAAATGTAAATATTCAACAGCAAATGGTGGAAAGTCTCATTTCATTTTCTTCTATATTATTTTATTTCTAATATAATTCAATCAGTTACTTACCCATTAAGAAATGCAGGGGGTTCTCTTTGTATTTGTTCACTACTGTTCCCATAAAAAATTTGCTTCCAAACAAATCAGGAGTCATGAAGGTCCCATATTTAGCCATCCCAATCTCATAGGGATTGAATTCTACCCAATCTGTAAAGAACAAACATACATCACCACAGATGTTCTGTGCTAGTTGCTGCAGAATACAGGCTAAGACTAGCTATGGATGAGTCTGTCTGTTTCACATTCATTAAAAAAGCATATACACCTGAAATTCTTCACAATAAATATTTGAAAGAATAACCACATTTTGGAAATTTCATATAATAAATCCAATCCCATTAGCACAAAGAAGCTGGAACAGCAGCCCTTTAACATTCTAAAACCTTTGGTTCTCTTAATGACCTGACCACTGGCCACACATGTTGGAGCTTTGAGTAGTGGAGTCCAGCAATATCTGAGTGGCCATGTTTGGGTGTTGATGTGTTAGGGCAGAGCTTTCCAAACTGTGTGTTACTGGTGTTTTGGCTGTTGTCTGCCAGTGTGTTGTATGAAAAATGCCCCATCCCCAAAGGCTGCCTGGTGAGCAAATGCATTGATGGCCTCTGGAGGAGGAGGAGGAGGAGGAGGAGGAGGAGGAGGAGGAGGAGGAGGAGGAGGAGGAGGAGGAGGAGGAGGCAACAGCGGCAGCACCCACTTGGCAGTGCCAAGCCCAGCCATTCCTCATCCTGTTGGAGGGAGTGCCAAGTCCCTCCATTGGCCAAAGGCTAAGACCTTTACTTGGCTGGAAGCTAAGCCTTTCTGCCACTGGCTGTGGGGGAAGGGAGTTCAGAGGTGAAAGAAACCCCCAGAGGGCATTCACTCAACCCCCTTTCAGTCAGGCAGGAAGACACAACCAAAGCCATCCCAACAGACAGCGATCCAGCCTCAGTTCAAAATCCTCCAGAGAAGAGACTCCACTGGACTCCCAGGCAGGCAATACATCACTAGGGTGAAATGAATTTCCAAAGGGCATTCAGTCCAATATACTTCAGTCAGGCAAAAAGACACAATCAAAGCCACTTCCAACAGACAGCCATCTATTCCAGCTCAAAAACCTCCAGAGAAGAAGACTCTATTGGGTTAACAAAACTTATAGTGTTCAAATTCACTTCAGAGAAACGTGTGATTACTGTCAGGAGCTGATTTCTGCTGTTCAGAAAGTCACCATAAATCGTCTCCATGACATCTCGGTGTCAGTAGGGCACTTCGGTAGAATAATTTGAGAGCATCTAAAAAGACTGGGGTTTTCTCCTGGGAAAAATCCGATAAGTATTTCAGAAGTGGACCTGAGGCTGCGAAGAAGGGAGAAGTGCCAGCTCTTTCCAAATAGGGGGAAGGAAAGAACCAGGAACTCCAATGTCCCTGCAGAGCCTCTGTTAAAGGGGAGTAACCCAGGCTGCAGTACTGGAGGAGTATCTTGGGAGTGGAGGCCCTCACAGTGGAGTATCTTGGGGATTACCGGCTGAGGCTTCTGGTGGCTCTGCAGCTGGGTTCAGCCAGAAGCCATGGAGAAGGGAGCTGAAAGTCAAATTCAACGGGGACCCACAGGAGGTTTTGTACTTTAATAGTAATAATAAACAACTTTATTTTTAACCTGCCCTCTCTCTCCAAGGGGACTCAGGGGAACTTCCAAAGTAAAAATGGCAAACATTCAATGCTGGTACAAAACTTAATAAACAACTGACAGATAGGGAAACTCAATAAAAAAAACATATAAATCATATAATCTAAAACAAATTTACAGATTAAATGCATATAAAAATATAGATCCCTATAATTTAAAATCATCTGTTATCAGCATTGTCACAAAGTAGAATCAATGGTAATCTACTTTCCTTCCTCTCTGTAAGATAGTTCACATAAGTGAGTTTTCAATAGTATTTTTAAAGAGAGAACTGATGGGGCCGTTCTAATTTCTTTAGGGAGGGATTTCTAGAGGAATGGGGTGACCACGAAGAAGCCCCCCTCTCTTGTTCCCACCAGCTGTGCTTAAGAAGGGGGTGGGAGTGAGAGCAGGCCCTCCTCCATTGATTGCAGTGTCCAAACAGGTTTATACACAGGGATGTGATTTGACATATAGTCTGGGCTCAAATAGTTTAGACCAGTGGTTCTCAACCTGTGGGTCCCCAGATGTTTTGTCCTTCAACTCCCAGAAATCCTATCAGCTAGTAAACTGGCTGGGATTTCCTGGAGTTGTAGGCCAAAACATCTGGGGACCCACAGGTTGAGAACCACTGGTTTACACTTTATGTCATGACTATGGTCCAACATTTCCATCTGAGGAAATAAAAGTGCATGCAGTGGGAGCCAATTTAAAGGGGCCTGCTGCTGCATATGAGGGGGGAGCACCGGAGCTGTGTAGGCTGAGAGATTTTTTGGCTGCTTTAAAATTCTGCTTCCAAGATCTATTAATGGAGATTGTCAAAAGCTCAGATTAAACAGCTGAGCCAGGATATATGAACAGTTTCCAAGTATGCTTTGGAATTCAAAGCGGTAGCGGGAAAAATCAGAGTTGGTCAAAAGCCACCAAACTGAAATACTTTAAAGGAGGCTCGAGGCCCAATCTGCTAGAGTGGGCATTGCATAGAAATGACACTGGAACACTGGAAGAATGGGTGCTGCTGGCTGGCAGTGTAGAGTGCAACCAGGCCCAAGTGAAACCATGTTCCTAAGACTTTCCTTTTAGCAGAAATACTGCAGCTCCGGGCCAAGCAGGGACACCAGGGAATTCTGCGCGGACCCTGTCAAGCAGCCAGGAGAGGAGAGGGAAACAGAGCCACCTGGCATCAGAGTGTTAGAAGACCATGGCAGCAAGTAAAGGAGAGAATAAACAAACAAGCAAACAAACAAATAAATAACACTTTATTTATATTCTGCCCTTCTCACACCGAAGGTGATTCAGGGCGGAGCACAAGTAGACATACACGGCAAACATTCAATGTCGTTTGTATAGACAGTACACAGACAGAAGGGGATTTTTGTGTTGTGCCATAGGGGGTGCTGTTGCTCCAACCTCTATGACGAAGAGCTGTCAGGACTTCCTCATTCCAGCATTTTCTGATCTTCTTTTTCTTTATGGCATTGTTAAACACTCCCCTGCTTTTTAGCGGTACCTAATTTCTCTAATTACAGCTAAAGCTGTTTTCAAACTGCTTAGGTAAACAGTGGGCAGGGCTGAGGGTTGGCTGCCCATGCCAACCCGGGGTTTGAACTTGCAACCTTTCGGTTGATAGATCTTATAGTTGCTGATGACTTACCAGCTGTGCTAAACCTCTAGCTGCTGTAGAGAAGAGCCAACCTCGATGATCCCTGCTAATGAAAGCTGGAAGTGAGAAAGCCAACAAAGGAGTAGAGTCAGCTTGGAGACTGGAGGGGGAGTCTAACAGCTCGGAGAGCGATGATAATCAGCCGCTGGGAAACAGGAATTAGCTGTGTAGAGGATGCCCAACAGCAGACTGTCCCTACCTACCAACCGTCTGATGAGTTTAAGCTATAAAATAATGCAGATCCAGATTAGGCCGGTAAATTTATTTATTTATTTATTTATTTATTTGCTTTATTTTTATACCGCATATTTCAGCCAGACAGGCGACTCTATGCGGTTTACATGGTACAAATTATTAACAGTGTCAGTGTAATTAAAACGCAACAAGTGCGACAAACAGGATCAACGACATCAACCCACAACAGTTAACAAAACAGAACAAGACAGTCAACACACACAACATAACGCCTCAGTGAAATCAGATCCGTTCTCATAATCCTTGTGCCATTCCTATGTTCCATTTACCGTCTTCCTTGATTAATTGCACTGTTCAACCAAACGCCTGTTCATAAAGCCAGGTCTTAACCTTTTTCCGAAACGCCAGCAACGAAGGTGCCTGTCTGATGTCTACCGGTAAGGCATTCCATAGCCGAGGGGCCACCACTGAGAAGGCCCTGTCTCTCGTCCCCGCCAAGCGCGCCTGTGACGCAGGCGGGACCGAGAGCAGGGCCTCCCCAGACGATCTTAATGTCCTAGTCGGTTCATAGGTGGAGATGCGTTCGGAGAGGTAAGAGGGGCCAGAACCGTTTAGGGCTTTATAGGCTAAAGCCAGCACCTTGAATTGTGCTCGGTAGCAAATTGGCAGCCAGTGGAGCTGGCTCAACAGAGGAGTGGTGTGCTCCCTGAGTGCCGCTCCTGTTAGCAACCTGGCTGCCGAGCGCTGGACCATCTGAAGCTTCCGGGCAGTCTTCAAGGGCAACCCCACGTAGAGCGTGTTGCAGTAATCAATCAATCCGGGATGTAACCAGAGCGTGGACTACCGTGGCCAAGTCAGACTTCCCAAGATACGGGCGCAACTGGCGCACAAGTTTTAATTGTGCAAATGCTCCCCTGGACACTGCCGAGACTTGGGGTTCCAAGCTTAGCGAAGAGTCCAGGATCACACCCAAGCTGCGAACCTGCGTCTTCAGGGGGAGTGTAACCCCGTCTAACACAGGCTGTAACCCTATACCCTGTTCGGCCTTTCGACTGACCAGGAGTGCCTCTGTCTTATCTGGATTCAGTTTCAATTTGTTCGCCCTCATCCAGTCCGATACAGCGGCCAAGCAACGGTTCAGGACCTGAACAGCCTCCTTAGTAGTAGGTGGGAAGGAGTGACAGAGTTGGACGTCATCTGCGTACAGATAACACCGTACCCCGAAACTCCGGATGATCTCTCCCAACGGCTTCATGTAGATGTTAAATAACATGGGGGACAATATTGAGCCCTGCGGGACCCCACAAGACAATGGTTGTGAGGTAGAGCAGTTGTCCCCCAGCAACACCTTCTGAGTACGATCCTCTAGGAAGGACCTGAGCCACTGCAGAACAGTGCCACCAAGGCCCATTCCCGCGAGGCGTCTCAGAAGGATACCGTGGTCGACGGTATCGAAGGCCGCTGAGAGGTCCAGCAGAACTAACAGGGACACACTCCCCCTGTCTAGCTCCCTGCGCAGATCATCCACTAAGGCGACCAAGGCTGTCTCGGTACCATGTCCCAGCCTGAAGCCAGACTGTGCCGGATCTAGATAATCAGTGTCTACCAAGAATACCTGGAGTTGTGAGGCCACCACACGTTCCAAGA